GTGAGCAGCACACAGCACAGAGAGGCTATGCCGGTGAGCAGCACACACACAGCACTCAGCACACAGAGAGGCTAGTGCCTGGGCCATGGCCAGCTCTCCTCAGCCTCCACTCTATCACAATGCGCTTTCCAACTCATATGCAAAAAAAAAAAAAAAAAGAGTATCTTGATTCCCTACCCCCACCCCAGACAGGATTGCTCTGTGTAGCCCTGGCTGTCCTGGAACTGACTTTGTAGTCCAGGCTGGCCTCAAACACACAGAGATCTGCCTGCCTGGCTTATTTCTTAATAATTTTTTAAAAAACTAAACACGGGTCCCTTCCCCCTTCCAGGTGTTGCTATGAAAGCAAAGCGCAGGATGGATGGAATGACACCTCAGAAAGCAACACTTACGGCAATGGCAACGGCAGGGTACTGATTCATTCCCTGACAGTGCAGCCCTTGGGGGTGGGGACAGTGTCCCTGCTCCTTGTCCCCTTCCTCTTGTTTTCTGGTTTTCCCAAAGAGCTTCCTTCTTGTTTCATTATGATGGCGATGGCAGGTCCTCTCCTTATGAAGGCCTCACTTTCCTCATCTGTGAAATGGGGGTGTGTGAGACTTCTCTCAGCTTCCCTCAGCCCTTCTCCTTCAGGAGCCAGAGACCAGGAAGGGATCTTTGTATCCATCCTGATTTTCTTCCAAAGAAACAGTTTGAAGGGAAACTGTGCCAGCCAGAGGCTTAGCTGGGCTGAAGAGGTGCCAAAGGTTTGCGTGCCATGGCCCCACAGAGGTTTCACGTCTTTTCTCCTCCAGAGCCTAGATCCTGGCTGTGGTTGTTACAGGTGATCAGGGACAGCTCAGACATCAGTGGCTTGACTGACCCGTCACTGTCACCGACTGTTTGCCATCTGACTTCATTTTACTCATCTAGCCCCCTGGAGAGAGGGGCATCTGGGAAATGAATGTCCAGGTGCTGGAAGCTCTAAATGCCGCTGGATACTGTTTTCTGAACTAGGGAGTGGGCAGGAGGGGTTAGTGCTGCCAGGCAGCTGTGGTGAGCTCAGAGAGACCGGCAGGCAGGGACAGAACTCAGCCCAAACCCTACAGCGGGACTCCATTTCTGACTCCCAGGCCAGTGCTCCTTCCAAACAGAGGCTAAGAGGTGACAAGTTCCAATAAGTTATGAGATTAGCTTCACCGTGAGGAGGGCGGGCAGGAGACATGAAGGTTCCCGGTGAGTGCAGCGTGCCCAAGGTCGGTATCTTCAGCAAAGAGCACACTGTCAGGGAACAGCTTCTACAGGGGGGATACTGAGCCTGGGGCCAGCACAAGCTTGGCCAAGAAAGCCCAGTTCAAGGGGAGAACAGTTCACAGAGGGAACACAACAGGACCTCAGTTCAGCCTGCCCCGGCCTCGCTATGAAGGATTGTCCTATAGTGTCCTATAGGCCGACCACTGCCCTTGTTCACTGCTGCAGAGTGGGCCGTGCCCCAGGGGACACTGGGCCCCAGGTGCTCTCTGGGGGAGGGGGAGAATACCACCATGGCGTCCCTTCAGCTTGAGTTTAGACTCCGCTATGGACTTCTTCCTGTGACTCCAGAAACTGCCCTCGTGGTAAGATGGCATCTTCTGTGCTGGCAGACTGAGCCAAAGAAATCCATGACTTCTGAATTATTCCTGAATTACTAGCACCTGGGACTCAGCACAACACAGCCCAATCATCTCCCCGACTCCCAGGTTATTTCTAAAACTTGATCTTACAGTTGGGGTTTAGCTCAGTGTAACTACTTGTTTAGCATGGGTCTGGTTCCCCAGTGCTGTGGAAAATAAAATTACAGAGAATCTTGCATTAAATACCAGAGCCAAACCATTAGCTCATTGCTGTCACTTGCATCAGCATCCAAGCAGGACAGTTCTGAAAGCAAGAATCAAAGAAACACAGCACCCATGACAGACAAAGCATCTTCCCACTAGCCTTTATTCAGATGAATTTTGGTGTAACGGCACCTTTCCCTGCTAAAAGGAAAAATTCTAACTCATAGTGCCTGTGTTAATCTGTTTTATAGTACTGTAACAAAACACCTAAGGTTAAATAACTTTACAAAAAAATAAGGTTGATTTAGCTTACAGTTCTGAAGGTTCAAGGGCCCACATCTGATGATAGCCCTCTCGCTGGTAGAGCCGAGTTAGCACAGTGTATCACATGGCCAGAAACAGGGAGTGCTCACTGTTGCTTATCACTCTGTCCTGATGACTCTACCTGACCTCCCAAGCATACTACTTCTAAACACCAGAATGAGATTAATTTTCTAATAATAATAAAAGAAAAAAATCAAAATTTAAAAAAGATTTTATTAACTATTATTTTGAGACTTGGCCTCACTATACGCTTCTGGTTAGCCTGGAACTTGCTCTGTAGACCAAGCTGGTCTCCAACTCACAGACATCTGTCTGCCTCTGCCTCCTCAGCGCTGGGATTAAAGTTGTGTGCTGCCATGCCCAGCTTATATTTTATCATTTGTAAGTGTGTGTATGATGTGCGTGTGAGTGAAGGTGCCCATGGAATCCAGAGGCAGCAGATCCCCTAAAGCAAGAATTCAAGTCAGTACCGACTCACCTGAAGTGCATGCTGGGAATCAAAACTCTGGTCCTCTGGGAAAGCAGTCAGTACTCTTAACCACTGAACCATCTTTCCAGCCCCTATTTTTAATATTTTAATTGTGTATGTGTGTGTGTGTGTGTGTGTGTGCGTGCGCGCGTGAGTGCATGTGTGTGCGTGTGTGCAAGCAAATGAGGGCTGGTACCTTTGGAGGCAAGAGGCTTTGGCTCTCCCTGAACCTGGAGTCCTAGGTGGTTGTGAGCTGCCTGACATGGACGCTGGGAAACTGGGCAACCACAGTCCTCTGCAGGAACAGAACATGGACTCCACTCCTGAGCCATTTCTTCAGTCCACCACCCAAATTTTGTAGAAAGAGATTGAGTGTCCAGTCTCTAACTCTTCGAAGAGATTAATATCTAACACTCAAGCCTGCCCAACCGTTTAAGGCATAAGAGTTTAAAAGCAGCAGTCTCAAAAATGGAACGTTCTTGAGCCAAAGACTAACACAAAATCAGTCTCGTGCTGGTGGGAGCCTGTGGCCTGTAGTGTCTATGGTTCTGCTGAGTACTCTCTAGGCAATGGGCTCCGTTCCTGAAGAGCTGAACTTGTTTTCCAAGGCCTTGGGGGAAGAGTCCATAAAGCCGGTAGGGCTCCCTCGGTTCCCTTCACAGCTGCTATTCCTCAGGGCCGGCTGTCTTGGTGGTCACCAGCTCAGTGGAGCCCAGTTCTGTGGCGGGCACTGGGATGCTGTGGCTTGGCAGGGTGGTGTCGGCATCTTCTTTGGGGGTAGGCCAGATGGGAGCGGAGGCAGGAGGGGTTTCTGAGGAGGACACGAAGACATTGTCCAGGGACTCTGGGGTAGGTGAGGGACCAGGTAAGGCAGGTCAGGATTGAGTCACAGCCTCCCTGCAACGCCTGCCTGTTCTAGAAGCCTCCTGGGGAACAGCCCTCAGCGGAAGAAGTGGGGCAGCACATGACAAGTCTTCAGGACAGGAAGTGCTGAGTCCAGAGACTTGTGAGATGAGGAGGTGGGAGACACTGACATTGAGGGGCGGGTGTCTGGGCAGTCCACTGGGCATAACCTAGGACCAGGCCACTCGGACTCCCAAAGGGAAGGGCAGACACTTTCATCCCCAAACATCTCTTCCTGGGCACTGAGTCTCCTTGCTTGGATTAAGGCTTGGCCTGTGCTGTCCTCCCTGAGTACCTGACAGCCTCAGAGCTGACTCTTCAGCCCCCCCCCCCCCGCAGTCCTGGGTCCGATTCCGGACCTCCCCTAATAATAAGGGTTGTATCCCCCACCTCCAAGCCGCTGTTGTGCTTCCCCAGACATGGTTCTCACCTTCCTGGACTCCGTCTGGAGTGTCAGGGGAGGCCGTCCTGCGTTGCCGCCACCACCTCCAGATCACCAGGGCCACCAGGACCAGCACCAGAACCAATCCCAGGAGCGCGGGGGCGCCGAAGAGCAGCCCGGGCAGCGGCAGCGTCGCGTCAGGCCCTGGTCCCGTGCCCACCGACTCCTGCGGCTGCAGCGCTGTCCCGGGCGCTGATGGTGAAGGGGATGCGGATGGAGGGCGGAGGACCGAGGGGTCGAAGACTGGGCGGAGGAGGGACAGAGAGAAACGGGCGGTGAGGACCATGAGGAACCGCTGGTCCCAGCTTCAGCTGAGGGGCACGTGGCGCTGCCGGGCTGGGGACCTTGGGGGGCAGGTTCCGTGTCCCCGTGGCCTGTCTTACCGTGCCTAGGAGGGTCCGTTGTGCGGAGGAGGTTACATTCCAAGCAGCGTCGCACCAGAGGGTCGAAGCACAGTGCCTGAATGCATGGCGTGGGCATGGGGCTGTCCCGGCTTCTCCGGCTTCTGGTCCCGCGTTTCCGGGCGCCCATGTCGCCACCACATGCAGGTGGGACAGAGGTCTGAGTCTGGACTCTGTGCCCCTCTAGTCTAGAATGAAACCCAGACGGAGCAGCAGCATCCTCCGCCCCGCCCTTGCCTGCTGGGGTGGGACCACTGGGGTGGAGCTGCAACCTCGCCTGAACCCCAGACCTCTTTCACCTGTGGTTCCTGTATTAAACCACTCAACTGTCACCGCAGACGACAGCTGAGCATTGCTAGCGCTGGGGGGTCAAACTAGAGGCTGCTCTTGGACCGCAGAGGGGACGGAACCCAGCAGTCGCCTACCTCCCTCAGTCTCCTGCTGCTTCTGCTGTAGCTCACCGAGGCCATCTCCCCCTAGTCCCTCCTGCTTCCTGCTCTGCCCTTACCCTGTCAAGACATCAAATGCCCACAGTGGCGACTGAGGGACACAGATATCCTAAAAGACTTCCCAGTCTCACCATTCACTAGCCCTCCATATCCTTGTCCTTTGCCCAGCCCTGCCTCCCCGTCCCTTTGTCCCCTTTGAGAGTAGTGGGGACAAGCAGATAGTCATCCTGAATTCCATGGGAGTGGTAGGTACGGGGTCTGCCTGAGGGCCACCAGCACAGCTCACCACCAAAAAAATGAAGGGAAAACTTGAGAGAATGACGCGGTGTTGGTAGAGAGGAGACATCTAGGGGCCAGTGGTGGGGTGGAGTGTGAGCAAAACCCTGGTGGCACAAATGGGAAGGGGAGTACTGGGCCTTGGGGAGTGGCGGGGAGGCTAGAACAACAGGAATCTCGGATTCTGGCCGCAGGTGCTGGGGAGCTTCTGAGCCTGGGCAGGATCTGCAGATTAGTAAGGGAACTGGTTCCCTGCAGTTCCTTTTCCAGAGCTGCGACCCTGCTTGGTTGTGTCTTTGCCTTGTCCCTGTCCCTGCTGTATCAGGCCCTGGTTTTGGTCTCCTGCTTGTACCTACCTCATCAGCATCACTCAAACCCTGTCAGTCACACACACAAGCTCTCTGGTTCTTGGAACATATGCAGTCCCCTCCCCAGGGGCCATGGGCTGAGAAGTGCCTGAGGGAGTTCCTAGCTAGAAGCTCAGGCCTGTAGTCCCTTGGTGTGCCTCATGATAGGTCATACAGAGGCTAGGGGCTGAGGGATCGCTCCGGCAGCTTCATGGGGCAGGGAAACGGGGTGCCCTCCAGGAAATGGCACGGGGAAGGCCTGCGAAGGCGAAGGGCTGCACAGACTGGGGGATGGACATGGCAACTGCTATGGGGAGCTGGGAGAAAGGAAAGCACCTTTGTGACACCTGGACGGGGGTCCAGCTGGAGAACAAGGCCTGGCAGTGGGGGCCTCGATTCAGAAGGGCCCTCTGGCTGCATCCAGAGACTGGATGGGGAGGAAAGGAGGCTGGATGGAGGGCAAGGGATGGATCATGGAGTAAGGGAATCAAAGCTGCTACAGGAGATTCTGAGGACCCACATAGAACCCTAATCAGTTAGCCTTGGGGGGTTCTGGCCCACTGCCTCTCCATCCCCTTGCCTATGGGCCAGCAACTCCACAGCAGGAAGGTGTAGGCGGCAGGGTGGCTGCAAAGGAGAAGTGGGTCTGGGGAGGTGGGTGTGGGTGTGAGTGTGGTGTGAGTGGGTGTGAGTGTATAGGGAGGTGGGGGCAGGGAAGGAACACGGAGCCAGGGCAAGGACAGTCCTTCTTACTGGAGAGAGGCAGGAAGGTTAAGACCAGAAGGCTTGGCTGTAACCCTCTGCTCACACCCCCTCTACAGAACTTATCATTAGGGCCATGGAGTCCTGCCTACGCACCGGGCATCTTAGCTATTGGCGCTGAAGAGCTGGGGCTCATGGGAACCCAGGGAACTCCAGTCCTGGGAGAGGGCAGCCAGTAGGGCCCGGGTTGGGAAAAGTCCCATGGGCCACACCAAGGAAGCCAGCCTGCAAGGAGATGCTACTTCACAACAGAGAGAATCGCCAGCTGCTCCGCTCCTGCAGGAGACGGAGGTCACCTCAGGGTATGGAGCAAGAGGCCTGTAACCCGCGGTCACAATGATAAAGCCCTTCCCCTTCACTTCAGTCAGAGAGGGACGCTTGAAGTCTGGAAGACAGAGGCAAAATTACTCATTTGACACAAATGCTTACTGGGCGCTTCTTATGGGCCCCATCGAGACAGGAGGCAGACTAAGCCAGCGACAGCAAAAGGCCTGTGGGATTCATGTCTGTGGCGTGTACAGGTGTCTGACCTCAGCCAGATATTTTCACTTACGCCTCTGTGGGGGCGGGGGTGGAGGCTGTGGGAGTCCTTGAATCTCCGCTTGAACGATTTCATGGTAAAGAGGAGAGATTTGGGGACTAATGACGTAACTGAGCTCTAGAATGGCCACCTGGCAAGCACGAAGCAGCTCTGGGTTCCACCCTGAACGGCAGAAATTGGGCATAATGGAATACACATAATGCAATACACTTGTAATCTCAGTGTAGCACTAGGGAGGTGAAGGCAAAAGAGGCTCAGTTCAAGGCTATGGTTGAGCTTCATAGTAGATCTGAGGAGTCCATTCTAGGCTACAGGAGGCCCAGCAAATGGAGAGCTAGACCAAGACGGGGAGAGAGAGCACGCTCAATGACGCAGGAAATGTTAGGCTACACTTTAACATTGTTTCTTCATAGCTACTAACTATTTTTATTTTTATTTATGATACAAGGTTCTCCTTGTAGCCCTGGCTGCCCTGAAACTAACTCAGGACTAGACTGACCTCAAACTCAGAGATTCACCTGCCTCTGTCTTCCAAGTGCTGGAATGGGATTAAAGATGTGCATCACCACTGCCTGGCTTTATTACTTATGTGTGTGTGTGTGTCTAAGCGTATGTCTGTGCACCATGTGTGTGCAAGAATCCTCAGAGGCTAGTAAAGGACTTAAGATTCCCTGGAACTGGAGTTACAGGCAGATGTGACCCATCATGTGGGTGCTGGGAACTGAACCCAGGTCCTCCCTCTCTGAAACAAGTGCTCTTAACCACTGAGCAATCTCTCCAGCCCCAAGATCACTAATGTCTCAATTTCTTCTGTGTAACATTTCTAGCTTACTGTAAAGGAGTTAACCTGGGAAGCAGCAGTGGGGAGCTACAGAGGGCATAGTCCAGAGGTGGTGGGCTTCTGGGGCTTCTCTGGGCTAGCTAGCATACCCCCAGTGCCACCTTCTCAAGCAAGAAGTTCTTCTGTGTCATTTTTGACTGTTCTGAGATGATCAAGAAGTTGGTTTCTAAATTCACTGTAGTGTTTACACATTTTCCTTTTAACAAATTTTCCCTTTTTAGTTTTGTTTTTTAAAAGTTTTTTTATGGGCTGGAGAGATGGCTCAGCAGTTAAGAGCATTGCCTGCTCTTCCAAAGGTCCTGAGTTCAATTCCCAGCAACCACATGGTGGCTCACAACCATCTGTAATGAGGTCTGGTGCCCTCTTCTGGCCTGCAGGCAGTAGAACACATAATAAACAAATAAATATTTAAAAAAAGTTTTTTTTATTTATAAACCTGCTTATGACAAACAGGATCTTGTCATGTTGCCCAGGCTGACCTCAAACTTCAGGGCTCAAGCAAGTTTCCTGCCTCTGCCTCCTGAGTAGCTGGGCCTAAAGACACATCTCAGCCCAAACTTCTAGCCCTTAAAAAATAACAACAACAACAACAAAATCCAATTTTTACTTTAAGCAATCTGATATTACTTCAATGCATTTTTCATTATCCCCAGGACTGAGTGCCAGCACTTGGGGTGGGGTGGGGCAGGAGGATCAGGAGTTCAAGGCAAGACTGGTTTACACAAGACTAAAAAAAAAAAAATCCCCCATTTTTTTTTTATCAGTTGTGTGTATGATGTCTTAAGTCAGCGTTTTTATTGCTGTGAAGACACTATAACCACAGCAACTCTTACAAAGGTAAACATTTCATGGGGTGGCTCACACTTTCAGAGGTTCAGTCTATTATCATCAGGGCAGGAAATGGCAGCATACATGCAGACTTGGTGCTGGAGGAGGAGCTGAGAGTGGACAAGGAGCTACATCTTGATTCCACAGGCAACAGGAAGTAGTCTGAGACACTGGGAGTGGCTTGAGCATATGAGACCTCAAAGCCCACCCCAGTGACACTCTTCCTCTAACAAAGCCACACCTCCTGATAGTGTCACTCCTTCTGGGAGTCATTTTCTTTCAAACTACCACGCATGCCACAGTGATGTCAGAGGATAACTCTCAGGAGTCCTGAGAGGCATGGTCAGGTGTCAGGTTCATGAAGCAAACACCTCGTGTCAGCCTGTGTGTGTATACATATATACACATATATGTGTTTATGTATATATATTCTTGACTATAAAATGAGGGACTTTGTGGCTGAAACTCCTTCAAGTTTTTGTCTTACTGATTTCAACCTTTTCATTTACTAAATGATGGCTTCAAACTCACTGTGTAGCTAAGGATGACCTTGAACTTCTAGGGTTGTGAGTAGATCATCAGGCCCAGGTCAGATGCCTCTAACTCAGAGATCTGCCTGCTTCTCTGCCTCCTGAGTGCAGGATTAAAGTTCCTGACACCATGCCCATCTGCTCTTAAAAAAATAAATAAATAAAAAGGTGATTCATTTGGGGGTGGAGTACGGTGTGGAACTCTTGCTCTGAAAATTTCCCCAAACAGCATGAGATGAACACAGAGGAAGGCAGCTTTCAGAGGATGAGCCAGTGGGAATGAAGGCCAGGATGGAGTCTGCACCTGCCTGAGTGTGAAGCATGGCCCAAGTTCTTCATGATTCAGAGATGGTCAGGGAAGTAAGGCCACTGTATCTATGGGGCAAGCCCAGTGTGATGGGGGTGGGGGAGGCAGCCCCCGGGGACAGAGAGGCTCAGGTCCCCCAGCCCCCACCCCCGATCTGGATGTGAAACTGTTCTGAGACCCGGGATATTCTCAAACATCAGTGTTAGTTGTAGCTGTAATCAGGCCAGGGCACCCACAGTCTCGGTCCCCTTGCTCTGGACACTGCTTACACACAGCTTCAGGTCCACACAGGCAAAGGGTTTTTTTTTTGTTCTTTTGAAACATGAGTCATAACATGGATTGCCTTGGGGCCTTCCCAGTCACTATGAGTTGGCTGGAAACTTCATGTCCACCCTCTCAGCTCCACCCCATTTTCTCAGTGTTTGTCTCAAAGTAGAAGCTCCCTTGACCCCTCACCCCTTGTGACACTGTTGGAAAGTTCCCTGCGGTGGGGAGAGGGAAGGACAATGTCAGGTTTTCTGTTCACTGAAGAAGGATGGGAATGGTGGGGGATCATTAGAGTCTACAGGCCTGAGAAGCAGGGGTCGCAGGCAAAACAGCAGTCAGGGTGGTTGGTCTGGTCCTCTCTCCTTGGAACCCAAGCCTATCAATGGCAGGCCACGCCCTCTCTTGAAGCTGTGTGTGTGCCACTCACGTCACAGCCCAGGCTACCCCCAGTCCTCTCCCTCCACACCCACTGTGCACACACTTATGCGCTGTCACAACAGGGCTCCCGCTCTGCCATTCTTTAAGAATGGCCTCGGTGTGGTCCAGGGCCTTCAGTATGAGATAAGGAACCACAGATCTTCAGGTCCTTGGCTGCAGGAGTAAAGTCCTGTCCGGAGGCCAGCGGGCAGTTGTGCCCGGGGACAGTGAGGCTATGAGGTGGAGGAAGAATGGGAGCGTCCCAGCTTTGATCAGGGCACCCAGGCAGAACAAGCTCTACCTGGGCTCCAGGCCTCCTGCTGGCCCTATGCAGGGCTGTTTCACCATCCAGCAAGTGCTGACTCCTTACCAGGTTCCACCAAGTTCAGGAGCAGCGACAGGCAGCCAGAACCAAACAAACTCCAGTAAGGAACCAGTCTAGTAGGTGAAGGATGAGAAGGGCTTGGGAGAAAAACTCAAGGAGGGTACCGGAAATGAGGGGTATGCTCGACTTTAAAATTTCAGGTTCTGTGAGAGACACTGACTCAGAAATAATGTGGAGAATGGCCGAGGAAGCCATCTGGAAGATGCCCACCTCCATGCTGGCAAGCACAGCATATGCCGGGCACCTGCAGGCACACGCATACCTGCGGAGGAAGGGGCAGGGCCACCAAGGACCAAGCTTTTGTTTCCAGCCACGAGAACCCCAAGGGGCAGAGCCGTGGGGCTCAGAGCAGGAAAGCAAGCTGACCCACACGTCACAGGACCCGGTGGTGAGACTCTCGGGCCTGGTCCTTTCCCACTCAACTACTTCCTCTGTGGCCAAGTAGCCCAAGGCCTCTGTTCTTGGGGGCAGGTGTCTGTGTGTGAAGTGTTTAGTTTTGTTTTATTTTTATAAATGACATTGGGGAGGCATGCACACACATATGGAGGTCAAGGGACAACTTGCAGGACTAAGTTCTGGAGATGAAATTCAGGTCATCAGGGTTGGCAGCAAATCTTCCCAGCTGAGCCATCCTGCCTTGCTGGCCCTGGTTTGTTTTAGACGGGGTCTCGCGTAGCCCAGACTGATCTCAAATGGCCTGTGTAGCTGAAGATGACCTTGAACTTGGCTTGAGCCCTCGTGCCTGCACGCAGTGCTATGGACTGAACTACGGCTTCAGAGAGGCTAGGCAAACACTCTACCTACTGAACTACACCCCACCCTTTATAAAACATGACTATTGCATGTGTGTGAGGCCAGAGGACAAGTTATAATGTGCACTCTCCTATCTTTACATGGAAGTCAAGCTCACATGGCAAATACTTTTATTTCACAGACCACTCCATCTGCTTCCCTCTTGCATGGACTGGTCTTACGTTGTAGCCCAGGCTGGCCCGAAAAACCACTGTTCTTCCCACCTTTGCTGGCTACAAAATGAGCCACACCCAGCTGGGTGGAGGATCCTTGTTGCCATTCTGCAGTTTCCTTTCCTCTACAGGAATGGCTGTTCGCCACTACTTAGGCAGGGACAAGTACCATGGGCCTACTGCCACATTTGGGTCAGCGCCCTCCTGCAGAGAACTGAGCTTCCTGGAGGGGTATAAGAACTGCCCATACCAGGTAGCCTAGGGTCAAACGAACCTATGATGCAAAGCAGGCTCTCCCAGAGGATCTTAGTCCTAATTCAGGTCGCAAGCATCTGACAGCTTCCAGATTCAACTGAGCCCTTGAGTCGCCCAAGTACTCCACCTCAGCACCAAGCCTGGTCCCCATGCCCTCAGTCAGACACACTGCCAGGAGCAGCCACTCCCCGCTGTCTTCGGTAAGGTAAGCGAGGGCACCTGACTGCCATTAACGTGTCACTCAGCCCTGCGGTGCAGCAGGGGCAGGCCAGCCCAAACCCCAGAGAGGCGCCTCTAGTTCCAGGGTCCCTGCCAAGCTTGGCAGGGAGCTGGCAGTAGTGACAGCCTCAAGCTCCCCCAGCACTTGGAAGGCTCCCAGGCTCTCACTGGAGAATGTGATGCCACTTCTCTTGTTAAATGGCACCAGGTGGCAAAGAAAATGTGGCACAGAGACCTGAGGGAGAGATGTGCACATCGTGCTCCTAGGCGAGGGTGAGGGCGAAGCAGGTGACATAAACAGGAGGCGTGCCCATGCTGCCTGCCTCACTCTCCCACCCCACTCAGGGCCCAGGGTACGAAAGGGTCTGGGAACAATGCCCCTGAAGACTGCTGCTTTCTCAGGCACAAAATCTTGTCTTCCCATCTCAGGCCCTCCCAGGGGAGGTGCCACACTTTTGTTGAGTCACACAGAACTGGGGACAACGCAGGCAGGCCCGCCATCCATTGGCTATGATTATGGGCACGCCTTCAGTGAAGTCTGTCTCAGGAAGCCTGACACAGGGAACCAGCAACCCTGAGGCATGCTGGGAGGTCCACAGGAGCTGTTGCCCTGTGAGCAGAACACCGTGAAGCGAAGCGTGAAGGGCTCTGCAAGCGTCAGGTGACACGTGTGGCCTCACAGGGCTCTACAGAGCTAACTCCCCCCCCCCCGCCCCCCCCCGGCCAGGACCCAGGAGGCCATCAAGTCAGAAAGCTATCTAGCCAGGTGGCGTGCTTTGCACCTTTAATCCCAGCACTCAGGCAGAGGCAGGCGATCTCTGAGTTCAAGGCCAGCCTGGTCCACAGAGTGAGTTTACTACACACACAGAAACCCTGTCTCAAAAACAAACAAAAGCCCCAAGGCACAAAAAACCCAACAACAACAAAAAACCAGAGATGTATGTCTAACTCTTCACTCTAGGGGCAGGCCTTTGGGCTGTTCTGAAGGTAGCTACAGGCCCTGTGACTTCCAAGCAGAGGCTGTCCCTGCCACTATTGATGGAAGCCTTCTGTGCTCAACAGGCCTCGACCCTAGACCCCCCATGTGCTAAACCCACTCCTATAGCACTGGGAATCTTGATGGGGCTAACAGAACTTCCCCAGTCCAACCTGGCCCTTCTACAAACTTCCCCTGGATCTGAGGTGGAGTGTGCACTAGCCTCTCGCTTCTCACACTCTGACCTTGCTGGTGTCATGTCTGCCTGCTGTAAGATAGCTTTAGGAACTCGCTCGGTCTGGTTTTACATGACTGTGACTGTTTGCTGGATGCCTTGTTGCTGCTGTGGAGGGCATGACGATCTGCCAGACAAACAGACATGTTGCAGGAGCAATGCAGTCGCAGGCAGCATGCCACCTGCCATGTCATTCAATCCCCTCAACATGACATGAGAGAACCAACCATACCATTTACATCAGGAAACGGTTCCCAGGAGCAACGGCCGGGTTATAAGAAGCAGGGCCAGCACGTGACACTTCACTGGGATCCTGGAAGCCACGCTCTCCCCTTAATTGCACTGAGTCAGTTTCCTCATTTACAAAGTCAAATGGTGGATGATACAGATTTTCAGGGTTTTTTTTTTTTTTATTTTTACGTCATGGCTCTTTGTTCCAAAGAAATCTTCAGCGGATGTAGCCCGCCAGACAGGTGAAGATATGGGTCTCTGTGGGGTGAATTGGGAGGCATGGGATTCCAACCATGGGGCTCCCTTCCCCATTCCTGCCCAGCACCACACTGCATAGTGGAGCGGAGCTCACTCAGCCCTGCAGTGAGCAGGCTGCCTCCCGGGTCTGTCAGGCCCTGACTGTCTTCACCAACAGTGCTTGCTTACGGAGCTAGAGCCACATGCGGGGAGGGCAGCAGTGCTCACGACTCCTTGGACAGGGGGCTGTCGGAGCACCTCAGCAAGGACAGCAGGTTCAGCGCTGAGACACCGGGCACGTGGCCAGCGCAGATCTGCAGCATGCGTACCAGGCGCTGGGCCATGGTGGCTCGACAGCTCTCCACCTTCAGGGAAGAGCAAAGAACAGCAGTGAGGCGGTAGCTGGCCCTGTGGCCCTACTCAGGGCAGAGGCCAAGGCAAAGCTGGGGGCTGAGATGCAGGGGTACCCCATGATTGTGCCATACCTGACAAGGTAGCTTGTAAAACCTAGAGACACCCAGAGACTGTGAGTCCCGATCAAGAGGAAATAAGGGATTTGACAAGTCTGGTTGGTGATGGTTGTGCGCGCCTTTAATCCCAACACTCAGGACGCGGAGGCAGGCAGATCTCTGAGTTTGAGGCCACCCTGGTCTACAGAGTGAGTTCCAGGATGGCCAGGGTTACACAGAGAAACCCTGTCTTGACAAACCAAACAACCAACCAAGCAAACAAACAGGAAAAGCTGATAAGGTCAAATGCAGTCCAGGGTCACAGAGGCGTGACTGCAGAGTGGGGACCTCAACCGTAGCACCTCAACCGTAGCGAGTCCCAGGCACCCTGGGAAGACACAGGGACAACAGGGAGGATGGACAGAGTGGCCCGCGACACAGATTAGAGTGCATGACTCAAACCCACATGTCCTTTATTGGGCTCAGGGAAGCCGGGGGTTGTGTAGCTGTCCTGACCTGGATCAGTGAGTTCTGGGCAAGTAAGAGGTGTTTACAAGCATTTGCCTAGCCAATAGCAAATGCTCCAACAAGTGGGCTCGGGCACTGTCGGTCGGTCACTGGCTGCTCCAGCAACTGTGCTCATCTCTAGAGGCAGGACCATCCTAGGGGCCATGCTGGAAGCCTCAGTTGTCCGACTCGTCTTCCTGTCACCTCACATCTGGCCACTAGCACATTCTGTGGACGGTCCAGGAAACAGCAAGGACTATGGACCCTCCCATGTCACTCTTCCTGGACATCACTGAACCCAGGCCACTCAAGCCTTCCAGAAAAATCTCTAAACTCTGTCCTCATTTCTGCCCTCCTCTCTCTCCCTCCATCCACTCTCAGAGTCAGAGCAGAGCCACATGATCCCCTTTTACCCCCCGGACTGCAAGCTTCCAGCAACTCCAGCTGTATCTGGAGTAAAAGCCACAGCCTTTACTGACTGGATGACCTAACCCTTCACTACTGCAGTCCCCACTGCTCTGCCCTCCCAGTGTTCGGCTACAGACACGCTCTCTCCCCTCCAGTATCCACACAGCTACACCCCAAGCTTCCATCCCTCACACCCCAGTCATAGTCTCATTCTTTCTTTCCAGACAGGATTTCTCTGTGTAACCCTGGCTGTCCTGGAGCTCGGTTTGTAGACCAGGCTGGCCTTGAACTCAGCCTAAAAGAGAGCTAGCAACTCTCCATCACACAAAGGCATCCAAATATGTTGAGGTTCTAACTTGTTAAGACAGTAGGTATGCTCTGAAAAGGACAACCCAGACACGTGGGATCGCAGTCATCTGAGGGACCCAGGCATGCGTTCTGGGCAGGTATTTGTAGTCTTGCTGCCGGGTGAAGACAAGACTGCAGCTTTTGCTTTCCTCTCCACAGCTGGCCCCACGATTTTCCTTTCAAAACCACATTTAGAGAGAGAATGTGTGTGTGTGTGTGTGTGTACACCCACGCATGAAGGTTAGAGGTCAATTTGCAAGGAATCCATTCTCTCCTTACCTGTGGGGTCCAGGGACAGAACTCAGGCTGACAGCAGTGCCTTCACCCGCTGAACCCCATCACTGTCCTAGTCTAGTGCCGTGAAAACTCAAAACCTGGTGTGGACTGCCACCACATGGCCACATATGGAACAGCAAGAGCACCTGTCACAGGGTCAGCAGGCACAACCACTACCTGCTTTACAAAAGAGTCGTCCCGTCTCCCCCACCCCCATTTTCAAAGACAGGGTTTCTCTGTAGCTTTGGAGCCTGTCCTGGAACTCACTCTGTACACCAGGCTGGCATCTACTCCAACTCAGAGAGATCCACCTGCCTCTGGGATTAAAGGTGTGCACCATCACCGCCAGACTGGCAAAGATGATTCTTCAGTAAGAGATCATAAAACTACCGAGAAATGGATCTAAGGCGACTCACGCAAAGCCACATGGTCAGCAGGCCTCAATGTGGGGAGAGCTGCACACTAACCGGCTGGCTTTACCTTACTGTGTGGCTGAGCAAGGTGATTCTGTCTGGAGTGTTTTCTCAGGGGTTTGTTAGGAGGAAAGCCTGGAGGGTGAGACACTTCGGATGTGTCAGGGGTACAGGGTGTCATCACCTATTAGAGCACATCCTGGATCCAGTCAAGAATTCTGAAAGCAATTGTTAACAAGAAAGACTGATGTGTAATGAATGGCAACGTATACCCTGATCAATGCTTCAGTCTAGGGGTAATCTACGGGAGTTTAGCAACCAGAGAACAGCAGTGATGGGTTGCTAATATGTAAATGAAAGCATCAGTCAGTACCTCTGTGTATGGGTGTTCTGCCTGCATGTATGTCTATGCACCGTGTGTGTGCCTGGTACCCGAGAAGGGCAGGTTATAGACAGTTGTAAGCTGTTATGTAGATGCTGAGAATCAAACTCAGGTCCTCTTCAAGAATAGCAAATGCTCTTAACTAATAAGCCAGCATTACAGCTCCAGCATGCTACGTCTGTTGGTAACTGCTAACTTAGCTATTCCCACTAACATTCTAGGCTAATTCATGAGCTCAACTCCACCTCGAGGGTTGTATGATGCTGTGGGGGAGGGGACAAGTTCTACTTCTCATCCAAATTTATAGATAACCTGAACTCTGCTGTCACGGGCACAGTTCATAGATCAAATAACAGAAAACCCTGGGCCACAGGATGTGTTGGGTTTTGTCCTGATTTGCTTCTTATGGAGTCACTTGTTCTTAGGAAAAAGGTGTCCTACCCAGGACACAACTGTTCAAAACAAACCTCAAAACTAACAAAATGATCATCAGAGCAACGGAGCAGACCAGGTATGTAGGTGGGGCAGCTTGGTTCAGAGAACTTACGGTGATCCTCCCAGGGAGCATACATTAACTCCTGCTGAACAACACCTACCAATGCAAATGCACTTCTGGGGCTCCAGAGCTGGTTTGGTGGGTAATGCTGAACAAGCATGTGTTCTGATCCTAGCAGCCATGTCAAAAGTTGTACACGGCTGCGCATACCAGTAACTCTCGTGCTGTGGGCAGAGGCAGGACATTGCTGGGTCTTGGTAGCCACCAGTCTAGTTCCGGATTCAGTAAAGACCCTGCTCAAGGGAACTCGGCAGTGTGAGAGAAGGACACCTGATATCCTTCTCCGGCTTCGGGGGAATGTGCAGGTACATGATCCCTCCCCCACACATGCAAACAACACAAACAGAATAAAGGGAAAAAAGCGGGGCTGGAAAGATGACTCAGTATAGCACTGGCTGCTCTTCCAGAGGACCTGGGTTCAATTCCCAGCACCCACACGGCAGCTCACAACTGTCCATAATGCTAGTTCTAAGGGACCCGACACACATGGCAAATGAACATGAAATAAACAACAACAACAACAACAAAAAAAGAGCCAGGTGGTGGTGGCACACGCATTTAATCCCAGCAGGCAGATCTCTGAGTTCGAGGCCAGCCTGGTCTACAGAGTTGAGTTCCAGGACAGGCTCCAAATCTACAGAGAAACCCTATCTCGAAAAACCAAAGAGAGAGAGAGAGAGAGAGAGAGAGAGAGAGACAGAGACAGAGACAGAGATAGAGAGACAGAGAGAGAGAGAACGTATACCTGCTTTGTTATGGCTAGACAGGGCTCACCGGGTGAGCACACCTACAAAAGCTAGTCAGGGTGGAACCAACACACCCAGCTATATACCCGTATAGTCGTCCATCTAATAAACACCCCTAGCACTTGCTCTGTGTCCTGCCCTGTGACACCACAGACTGTCGTCCATGGAGGGTGGATGACATCAGGTACTCTAACAGCCAGAGAGGCATGAGGATATACTGGTCAATTAGACATGACACTTTATAAGTACTTATACCCTAGCAGGAGAGGGCAATATTAACAGGGACTCACACACACACACACACACACACACACACACACACACGACTTACCTGGACACCTGCTGACCCTTCAGTAAGCATTCCCAATGTGTTTGTTCACTGTGTTTTCACTGCCCTTTCCTTGTACTGAAGTATAATACTGATCACAATGACAGGGCTCTCACCTTTAAGTCACAGAAGAGCAAGGGGCTTCGGTAGGTGTGGGCCAGCTTTATGACAGTGTTCCGGTGAATGCTGCAGTGGCTTTCCCGTTCAGCTGCAAAGAAGCCAGGCACATTGCAGGCTACATCTGTCAGAAATCCACCTGCCTCCACCTCTAAGTGCTGGGATTAAAGGCGTGCACTACTGTGCTTGACCATTCCATTCTTTTCTGAGCAGTCAAGACCGTCACATCAGACTCTAAGGCTGGAAAGGCTTTGATGTGCTCTATGGAGTTGAGGCTCTTCACTTTTGAAACAAGAATAAGAGCACCTACTACACAGAGCTGCTCAGAGTCAGTGAGTTGATACTGAGGAGTCCCAGGCATTCACTGAGACCATCACCACCACCACCATCATCACAGGCATCGTGTGGGACTCTCCCCTCAAGGACCTCAGTGCCACAGGGAATGTGAGCGGATCAGACAGATCACTGACCCTGAGCAGCGTTTTGGTTCCTGCAGGAGTTAGCAAGACAAAGAGGAGAAACAGGACTTGATAGGAGCCCCACAGTCCTGACGCTAGGCACGGGGACACATTGAGTTTGAGGATAGCCTGAGCTACACACTGAGTCCCTGTCTCAAAATGTAAAGCAGGGCTGTGAACCTCTGCTCTCCACTCTTGAGCTATAGTGCCCGAGGCAAGTCACTTAACCTTACGCTCAGTCTTCTCAGGCGTAAATCTGAGGCAACACCCACTCAAAGACCACTGGGATGAGAAGCCAGAGTGTTTGGTGCACTGAGAGAGCCCATGATTACCAGTAAGACTGCCTCGTCTCAGGACCAGCAGCTGACCCAAAGGATGAGAGGAAAAGGAGTGGAGGCTAGACAGGGAAGGCAGAGGCCGACTGCAAAAGCCTTGAGAGTTGATCTCACCAGGCTGTCAGCTGGCCTTGGACTTTGTCCTCAGATTCCTGACCTTCGTGCCTTAGTAGCATCCAGCATGTTGTGATTATAGGTCTGTGCCACTTCCAGGTTTACTTTGTATTTTCAGAGGATTTGAATTTCACTCTGGAAGCCATAGGAGTCAGCAAGGAATTCCAAGTAAGAGCATAATTAGTTACTTGGATCAAGTTAGAAGTTCAGTAGTGCCTGGCATGGTGGTACACATCTTTAGCTTTTATTCCCAGCACTTAGGAGGCAGGTGCAGCTCTGGTGAGTTTGAGGCCAGCCTCGTCTACATAGGGAGTTCCAAGACAGTCATAGCTACATAGTGAGACCCTGTCTCAAAAGTACATTCTAAAATGGGGGCCGGAGAGATGGCTCAGCAGTTAAGAGCAATGACTGCTCTTCCAGAAGACCTGGGTTCGATTCCCAACACCCATGGTGGCTCACAACCATCTGTAACTGTAACTCCAGGTCTAGAAGATCCCATGTCCTCTTTGGACCTCCTCAGACAGCAGCTGGGTAAGAAGAATCTCTCTGCAGGCTGCCGTAGCAAGGGGCCATAACAGTGATTATTCTATCGCTCTAGCTGGGGTAGGGGTGAGCAGGAAGGGCCCCCCCCACTTACCCCCTGTGGCGAGGAAGCAGACTTTCCCCAGGAAGAAGCGACTGTCCACATGATTCAGAGATTCCTCTACCTTCTGGAGGCTGGGATACAAGGCCAAGCAAGAAAACAAACCATAAAACAGAGTTTCACAACACAGCCCTGCTAGGGTATGCCTCTAATACCACCACTCAGGAGGCAAGGGCAGGCAAACTCTCTAACTTTAAAGCCAGCCTGATCTACATATTGAGTTCCAGGACATTCGAGGCTATTTAGAGAACTCTGTCTCAACATCTCCCCCCATGTTATATTTTTTTTGAGACAGGATACTACTATGTAGCTCAAGCTGGCCTCTATCTCCTGACCCTCCTGCCTCAGCATTCTGAGTGCTGGGATTATGACATACAATATTATGCCGAGCTCAAACCTGGGTGATTATTTTTTGATATTTATTCATTGTGTGTGTGCATGCGCGCACAACCATGGAAGGTGCCATGAAGTGCTTGTGTGGGTCAGAGGACCATACTGAGCCCTGGGGTTGAACTCAGGTGATTAAACTAAGCCACCTTGCTGTCTACCTTACCCTTTTGAGCAAGAGCTCCCGTAGTTCAGGATGCCCTGAAGATGACCTTGAACTTCTGATCTTCCTGTCCCTATATCCCAAATGTTGGGATTCTCCTGTTTATTTTTTCAAAGGTTTTATTATTATTATTTTAAACTATGTGTTGACCAGTGCTTGTGTGAGTTAGGTGTACAGGAGTTCTGGTGTCTGGAGGCCAGAGGCTTTGGATCCCTCAAGTGGAAGTTAGAGATTGTGAACCTCCTATTGTGGGTGCCGGGAACCAAACTTTCATAACCACTGAGCCACCTGCCCAGCTCATACCCTGTTTGAAAATTTACTTTTACTTATAGAGAAATTGATGAATGCTTATAAAATAATCAGGCAGTAAATATGTACGTACGTACACACACACACACACACACACACACACACACACTTTAAGAGTTTTCATTCATTGAGGATTCTTCGCTGCCAACTCTCCAGAGGAAACTGCTGCCAACAGTTTGGGGTGTAATTCTTCTAGGAATTTTCTCTGCAAACACCTGCTGTTTTTCTCAAATACTGTCCTGCATACTATCAACTCCTGACTGCTGTAATTTGATAGGGTTTAGTCGCTAAGAGGTCATGTGCTGAAATTTAACCCCTGTAGAACCCAGCCCTGACAAACTCAACAGACGCCCCAATACCTGGTTCCAAGAAAGACCACAAACTGACATCACCTAGGAACAGACTGTCCAAAGGAAATTCTTAATGTTCCAACCATTGTAGGATCACCTGCTAGCACACACCCATCACTTTTCACTAGGACACCCCTAGACAAATGTCAATCAATCAGAGGTCCTGAACCTTAGCAATCCCTCACCCCAACCTCTGCTATTATAAAAACCAACCCCAACTGAGCTCGGGGTTCTCGGATCACTCCAACACGTTGGATACATGGAGAGTCTGAGTTTGCAAACTTTTGTAGGAATAAAGGTTCTTTGCTTTTACATACAGGCCTCGGTCTCCTAGTTGGTTTTGGGGGGACTTCGTTGCAATCTGCTGGTCTGGAAGGTCAGCTGGGTACCCTGTCCCTTGAAGAGACAAGCTCCGCCCACTCCCAACCTCCTCACCCCCACATCCCCCTCGTGGATACAACCCGTTTATATATGATCTGTAACAACCTCAGTGTAAAAAACCTCAGCAGAGCACTGGTTCACAGTACTGCAAACAAGATAAACAGGAAACATGAACAGGGCATGAAGTGTAGGCTGGAGGGCGCACTGACTGTCTTCCAGAGCACTTGAGTTTGCATCCCAGAAACCACAGGGCAGCTCACCACGGACTGTAACTGCAGGGGGTACACGGCTCCCAGAAACCACAGGGCAGCTCACCACGGACTGTAACTGCAGGGAGTACAAGGCTCTCTTTTGGCCCCCTTCGACACTAGGCCTGTACTGCTAAAGAATAGGTTGTGGTTCCTCTTTCAAACCTTGTGGCCCTCCCCCCCCCCCCCCCCCCCCCCCCGCAGCTTCTCAGGGCCCCGCCTTCCCATCACAAGGTTACTGTTCCAGCAGCGCCAAGCTAGGTCCTTCAGAGGCCTGTCCTGGCTCTCACCTGTGTTTGCTGTGAAGGTTAATCACAAACACAATCAGGTCAATTCGGGGCCGGTTCGCGTCGGAGGGCAAAGGGAGGGAGTTGGCCAAGTGGCTGAAAAACAAGAAGGGTAGGACTGAGGATAGGCATAGCCACCTCATAGCGACTGTTCACACACTGTCCTTTACTGCGGAAGGAACTGCCACAGGAGTCCAGCACTGAGGTGGGACACAACCAGTTCTTCCCAGATCAAAAGTATAACATTTTTTAAAATGTTGTAATTTTCCCCCCAAGACATGGTCTTATGTAGGCCAAGTGCGGCCTCTAACATTGTAAGTAGTTGAGGTCCACTACAGGTGGCACCATTTTCTGGGAGGGGACCGGGTTGTCTAAGAAGAAAGCAACCGAAGCACTAGCATGCATGCATTCCTCTTGACTGTGGATATGATGTCACTGACTGCTTCAAGTTCCCGCAGCACCGGCTTCTCCAGCAACCATGGGCTGGAACCTGGCACTGCGAGCCAAGCATCTCTTAAGTTGCTTTCGTCAGAGTATTTTACGCAGCAAAAAGAAGTGAAACCAAGACACAAACCTCTGCTTTGTTTTTAGGGGCTGACGACCAAACCCAGAACTCCAGTGGGTACGTGGGCTTTTGGCGTTGTGTGTGGGTCATGAACATTTATAGAGACTTGTAAAAAGTCAGTTCCGCCAGGGTGGGCAGGACCAGGGAGGGCAGGTGGCATCTGGGAGGAGTTGGGCCCTCTCCTGCAGGCTCCCTTCCCTTCTCCTCAGGCCAGCCCAGAGTTCAGGCTGCACCTCCACAACTTACACCCTCAACTCGGACGCACAGTCGTCTTTGAGCATGGACTCCGCCAGCTGCTGCAGAAGCGCATCCTCCGTGCCCACCAGCTGCGAAAGGAGAGGACCAGACAGGTAGAGACCCAAGTAGGGCGGCTCCTCTGGAGGGCCCGGCGCTTTGAATCCCCATGAGGGTATACACCCAGCCAGAGGCGGCTCGAAGGGGAACCGGGGAAGCGACACTCCAAGCAACCGCTCGGCCTCTCCCACGGAACGCGGGAAACCCAAGTCCGAACTGGAACGCCCACTGAAGCATGCGGCCGAGCCAGTCGCGCGCCTATTGGTGGAGGCGCCATTCAGTTTCGTGAGCCGCCGCTCCGATTGGCCCAGAGTAGTGCGCCCGCCCACCCCGGACGGGCGCGCTGTGGTTTGAGGAAGCGTACGGGCCTGGACTTGCGGGAAGCCGGCCCGGGGCGCCTTCCGTACCTACCAAGATGGTGGCCCGGTTCAGGTCGGGCAGCTTGTCCATCGGCCTCAGCACCGACATCTCGGCGGTAGCCGAGCCACCCAGCTCAGCGCGCCGCGCTTTCAAACCTCCCGGAGTCCCGCCTCCAGTGGGCGGGGGCTGGGCGGGGCTTGAACGTCTGGGCGGGTCTCTCTTGCCTGCCCACATTCTTAAAGAAACCGCCACCTCTCTGCCTGCCCCTCAGGAGCAGTTTGTGCTCTTAACTGCTGAGCCGTCACGCCGGCCACTACCATCCTCCTCTTTTAAAAAAAACATTTAGTTCATTATATATTTTTTAAAGTTTTCAATTTAATTGAAACGAGTTTACAGATCGTCGTGAGCTGCCATGTGGGTGTTCCCAATCCAACCTGGGTCCTCCGGAACAGTTGAGCCATTTCTCCTGATACAGCCCGTTTCCCTACCTGCCTATTCCTGAGGCTGTTATTTCTCTCTCCCCTAGTCTTGGGACCCCTCCCTTTCCCCAATTACCAGAAAGTTCCAATGTGTGGTTTTTCTTTAAGTTCCTAAACTTCTTTCTTTAGTCTATATCTGTCTCAGCAGATTTCCACTTGACTGACAGACGCCATCCTGGAAGCAGCTGTGGAGCCCTGGTCTTGCCGAAACGTGATGTGACTGCTCCCAGTCTCTATAGCTGGGTCAGTGAACCAGATGTCTCTGTTCAATGCCCCATTGCCTGATCCCTTCCTGGCCATTGACTTACATTCCGGCCTTCCTGGACCCTGACAAGGGGGTCCTAATTTCAACAGGAAGTACATACAGAAGAAAGCATATCTCCTCTATATAAGGCTGGAATGTTAGGTCAAAAGGAAACCCCCTGACAGAGGGGACAAAATGGCTACCTATAATGCTTACTGGACTCCAAAGGAAGGTACCATTTAAAACCAAATAGACCTAAATCTATCAACAGGTAGGCTCATTAGCTGAAATAGTTCTACAGTGTGATAGGGCACTCAACCTGCTCTGTGCAGGACAAGGAGGTCATGGTGTGGCTTTAAGAAAAAGTTTCTTTCTATGCAAAGCACTTGAAAACCATTTAAAAAAATTGGCAAGGATTAGACCTAACAGTGGGGAAAGGTGGCCTTTGCCACTTCCTCTAGGAGGAATGTTGCTTCTATGTTAACCAACCAGATATAATACAAAACAAAAATCTGACAACTCCAGACAGATCTCTAAAATTGTAAGAATCAACTTAATGTCTCTGGCCAGTGGGTTGTTGACTGTCCGGTATGGAATTGGAATTTGCCTTTTTTTGTTTTTTGTTTTTTTTTTAACATTTCTTATAGTTTATTTAACTTTTATTTTATGTGCATTGGTATGAAGGTGTCAGATCCCCTGGAATTGGATCTTCAGACAGTTGTGAGCTGCCATGTGGGTGCTGGGAATTGAACCCTGGTCCTCTGGAAGAGGAGTCAGTGCTCTTAACCACTGAGCCATCTCTCCAGCCTCTTGTTTTTTGTTTTTCAAGATAGAATTTCTTGGGCTGGAGAAATGGCTCAGAGGTTAAGAGCATTTCCTGATCTTCCAAAGGTCCTGAGTTCAATTCCCAGCAACCACATGGTGGCTCACAATCATCTGTAATGAGGTCTGGTGCCCTCTTCTGGCCAGCAGGCATACACACAGACAGAATATTGTATACATAATAAATAAATAAATAAAAATATTTAAAAAAAGATAGAATTTCTCTGTGTAGTCCTGACTGTTCTGGAACTCATTCTGTGGACCAGGTTGGCCTTGAACTCACAGAGATCTGTCTGCCTCTGTTTCCTGAGTGCTGGGATTGAAGGGGTGATCCACCACCGCTGGGCTAGAATGGTTTTCTCTTTTTAGAGTCTTACTGGTATCAGAACCCAGGATCTCTTGCATGCTACGCAAGCATTTTGTCACTGAACTGTATCCCCAGCCCACATATTGCAATTCTTAACTCTTCTTCGCTTCCTTTTCTTAGTTCCACTAATTGCACCCTGTCTCATAAACTTCTTGTCTAGATTTTTTTCAACAGCAGAATCAAAAGATTTCTCATCATTTAATCACTTGTTACAGGATTTTCAGCCCCTACCCTGATTATAACAAGATAATCATCCCCAGAGGCCTACGACCCCCATTACACCTGGATGGTGAAAATCAAGCTTGCCCCAAAGACTTTGATACCCCCAAACAACAGAAAGTAATCTAGCAATACTCCTCCATTGTTTTTTGTTTTGTTTTCTTTTTTGAGACAGGATTTCTTTGTGTAGCCCTGGCTGTCCTGGAACTCACACTGTAGACCAGGCTGGCCTTGAACTCACAGAGATCCGCCTGCCTCTGCCTTCCAAGTGCTGGGATTAAATGCCTGGGTTCTACCCACCACTTCAGTATCAGGACCACCATTGTCATCTATCACCTGGACCTTCTCACCTGCTCCCTGCTCTAACGAAGGTTCCCAGGGCAGCCAGCTGTTCTTCACATAGCATCTGGGTCCTTTTGAGACAGAAATTAGAAAATGCAACTTCCTTGATCCAAACCAGCCTCTGAATTCCATCTCAGCGTGCTGCAAACACCTGACATGACTCACAGGCATCCTGACTCCAGACAACTTCTCTGACCTCAGCAGCTCTACAGTAAACAACCCCACCCTCCTGGCAGCCCCTGGCTGTCCTTGTTCAGGACCTTGGTCCTTCCTTCCCTCTTAGTCCCTTTGGATGAAATCTCCCAAACAGTCAGAACTTGTCCCTTACTTCATGCCTCTGCTCCAATTTCAACCTGTCACAGGGGTTCACTCTTTTGTGTGGATTTCGTTTTGTTTTTGAGACAGGCTTTTACTCTGAGATGCTGGCTGGCCTTCACCTCTGGGCAGTCCTTCCTGCCTCAGCCTCTCCAAGGGCTGGGATTACAGGCAGGAGCCATCATGGTCAGTTAGAGGGGGAACTTCCTTTGCATTTATTTATTTATTTTTTTACATTTTGCTTATTGACCATGTGTGCACATATGGGCACAAGTGCTATGGTGTGTGCATGGTGCTCAGAGGACAGCCTCTGGTATTTGGTTCTTTCCCTCCACCATTGTCAGAGCCGGCGGCAAACACCTTTACCCATGAGGCCATCTCACTGACCCATTTAAAAAAATGATTTTATTAGCATGTATTAATTTTATGTAATAACGGGGTTCATTATGAAATATATGTAAGTATTTTGGTTCCCTCCCACTCGCGGAAATCTCCTTCTTCCTCCTAAATAGTTCCTGGGTGGGGGGGAGTCTTTCTTTTCTTTTTTCTTTTTTTCTTTCAAGACAGGGTTTCTCTGTGTGTCTCTGACTGTCCTGAATTCACTTTTGTAGACCAGGCTGGCCTTGAACTCACAGTAGAGGGCCCTTTCTTAATGACCCTACCTAAAGCAATACCCCCTCCCCCGCCATGCTTCCTAGTGTCCTTTCCTGGTTCTGTTCTGCTTTCTCCACAGCACTCATCTCAATGTCGTTTTCACCAATTTCCTAGCCTCTATCTGTTCTACTTACAAACTAATAATCCAGCTCATTCCTGTTTCCTGAACGTTCCCAAAGACAAGCCCTTCCAGGAAGAGATAAAGGGTACGTAGCTTTATTTAATTTATGGGAACTCTGAGCTGGAGATGTTGCTCACGTGGCAGAGTGCCTGTCTCCTAGACACAAAGCCCTGGCTCTGGTCCAGAATGACATAAACAGGGTGTGGGGGCACACACCTACAATCCCAGCACTGATGCGTGGGGGCAAGAGGATCAGAAGTTCAAGACCATCCTCTGTCACATAGTGATTTTGAGGTCAGCCTGGGCAACATGAGGCCCTGTCTCTAAAATCAAATCAAATTAAAAGCAGTAACTAGTTTTTCTTACTCATGACTCCTGAACTCCACAGTGGGCCATTGTGGATGTTGTGAAGCTAGTAGGCAGCTTTTCTTTTCCCTTCCCGAGACAGGGTTTCTCTGTGCAGCCTGCCTATCCTAGAACTCACTGTAGACCAGGCTGGCCTCAAACTCACGGAGATCCGCCTGCCTCTGCCTCCTGAGTGCTGGGATTAAAGGCATGCGTCAACACTGCCTGGTCTAGTGGGTGGCTTTATAGTGGCTGGTAAACATGTCTGTCTTTTGCTCAGGAGGAGACATGACTTTATCCCTTCCGATTCATTTCTGCAGATAAACCCTGAGCAAGGACCTCGGCACAAAGCTTTCGGGATATTGTTTTCTTGGTCTATCCAGCAAGAAGCATCCTGAAATGTTCAGGGTATATAGCAGATTTCTTTCTTTCTTCCTTCCTTCCTTCCTTCCTTCCTTCTTTTCTTTCTTTCTTTCTTTCCTCCTCCTCCTTCTTTTAAATGTTTTTATTTTATGTGCATGAGTGTTTTGCTTCTAAGTGCACCACATGTATGCAGTACCTGAGGAGGCCAGAAGAGGGCATCGTGTTCCCTCGGAACTAAAGTTATAAGCAGTTGGGAGCTGCCATGTGGGTGTTGGGAATGGAAGCTGGGTCTTTTGCAAGATTAGCAAGTGTTCTAAACCACTGAGCCATCTCTCCAGCCTGTAGATTGTTTTTGTTTTTTTAAGACAGGGTCTCACAATAAGGCCCCAGTTGTCCTAGAACTCTCTATGCAGGCCAGGTTGGCCTTGAACTCAAAGAGATTTGCACGCCTTTGCCACCACCATACCTAGCTCTTGATTGTTTCCTTAACAATACAGTTATTTGTCTATTGTCTGTCTGTCCAACTAAAGATATAGGATCTCAGCCGGGCAGTGGTGGTGCATGCCTCTAATCCCAGCACTTGGGAGGCAGAGGCAGGTAGATCCCTGTGAGTTCCAGGCCAGCCTGGTCTACAGAGCGAGTTCCAGGACAGGCTTCAAAGACCAAAACAAAAACAAAAACCAAAAAAAAAAAACCACCCCTAAACCAAAACAACAACAACAAATACCCAAACAACAACAATAACAAAAAAATCCCCAGAAGAACTCAGAGACTTTGTCACCTTGTCTGTCCAACACATTCTAAAAGTGGTAAGTGGTACATTGTAGTTGCTAATAAATAGTTGTTGAATGAAAGAACTACCTTACATCCATCCATTCATTCATCCATCCATTCTTATTAGTTAGTCATTCATAAATACCAGATTGAATGCCTAAGTTTAGGAATACAGATACACAAGACATTATGTCAGGCCTGCGATGGGAGGAGACAAGGGTGACACCATGTTTAATTTTAATTTTTAAATTAAAAAAAATTATTCTTTGGTAATTTCATACATAAATACAATGTATTTAGATAATATCCCCCACACTGATTCCACCTCCTCTTTTACCCAGACCTGACCCCACATCCCAATTCTAATTTCCTTTCCTCCTTTTTTTTTTTTTAAATTTTTTTCTAATTTTTTTTTAATTGAGTTATATATTTTTCTCTGGTCCCCTCTCTTCCTCCTCCCTCCCTTTCTAGCCTCTTCATGATCCCCATGCTCCCAGGAGAGCTTGTCTTCCTCTACTTCCCGTGTAGATTAGAGACCCTGTGCTTATTATGACTTCTGAGAGAGCCTAAGTCTTACTCCCTGACCAACCTAAATCCTCACTGTACACTGAACTTGTCCCACTTAGAAAGAGAAGGAACTCAAAGACTTTCTGGAGCCTGCTGTTCCCCACACAGGCAGCGCATTGATTCTACAGCCTAGAGTCTCCAGGGGCCCCCCGAAAATCAGACATTAACAGGAACTATGAAGAAAAAAGTAAAGCAGGCAAAGGAGTGATGGGTGAGAGGAAGTTACTGTGGACCAAGGGCGGCCTCACTAGGAAGATACTGGAGCCGATTCCCACCCTAGAGGGAGAAACCAATAGCCATGCAAAGACTTTGGATCTTGGTCTGGGCTTTTCAGCGGGTTCCAGGATGAGACCCAGCTAATCAACAGGTGCCTGCCTTGGCAAGCCCAGTGCTGGGCATAGGGCACGCACAGGGCACTCAGTCTCAGGGGGTCATCAGCAAAAACAGCAGCAGGGCTAATGTGGAGAGTCACCAGGGAGCAGCTGGGAGCCCGAGCAAAGGTACAAGATAAACGTGCATTAAATGTCCCAGGGGAGCCCAAGCACACCACACTCCATTAGAGAGATAATTGCTGGCTGAGGGGCCAAAGGAGAGCTGGAACCTGTCAGTGTGGGCGTTGGGGTAGAAGATAGTTGTGTGTATGCTCTATACTATGCTGAAGGGTCAGGACTAACAGGAAGGCTAGGCCCAGGCCTCAAGGGTTTTATCTCATGAATACTTACAGAGAGAGCCAACGTCTGAGTCAACTTTTCTTTTTCCTTTCTCTTTCTTCTTCCTTCCTTCCTTCCTTCCTTCCTTCCTTCCTTCCTTCCTTCCTTCCTTCCTTCCTTTCTTCCTTTCTTGAGGCAAGATTTCTCTGTGTAGCCCTGGCTGTCCTGGAACTCACTCTGTAGACCATGCTGACCTCAAACTCACAGAGATCCTCCTGCCTCTGCTGGGATTAAAAGTGTGCACCACCATTGTCCAGCTGACATTTTTCCTGAAGACTGACTTCTGTGAGGCCCTGGTGGGATACCTATGAAAGATGGGGGAATCTGAGTGTTGAGGTCCAGAGATCTTACCCTTTAATAGAAATCACTCGGCTTTACCTCTGTTACACATGAGGTTCCCATGAAGCTTTTCTATGACTAAAAGAATCAGTGACTGTGTTAGTTTAAATAGGTATGCCCCCACCCCCAAGACTCATGTCTGAATGCTTGGCCCATAGGGAGTGGCACTATTAGGAAGTGTAGTTTTGTTGGGTAGGTATGGCCTTGTTGGAGGAAGTGTGTCACCATGGAGGCGGGCTTTGAGGTCTCATTTGCTCAAGCTATGCCCAGTGTGGTACACAGTCTCTCCTGCTACCTGTGGATCCAGGTGTAGCACTCTCAGCTCCTTCTCCAGTACCATGTCTGCCTGTGTGCTGCCATGATAATGGACCAACTTCTGAAACCGTAAGGCAGCCCCAATTAGATGTTTTCCTTTATAAGAGTAGCTGTAGGGACTGGAGAGATGGCTCAGTGGTTAAGAGCATTGACTGCTCTTCCAGAGGTCCTGAGTTCAATTCCCTGCAACCACATGGTGACGCCAAGCACCTGTAATGAGATCTGGTGCCCTCTTCTGGCCTGCAAGGGTACATGCAAGCGGAACACTGTATACATTAAAAAAAAAAGATTTGCTGTGGTCATGGTGTCTCTTCACAGCAATAGAAACCCTAACTAAGGCAGTGGCTAAAACAATACCTACAGACCACTTATCACACTTTACATATTTGTAGAGACATAATTGATGTATATGAAGCTACTATACATGCTGAGAACGGGTGATTCAAACCTTTAGTCCCAGCACTTGAGAGGAAGAGTCAGGTAGATCAAGGCCGGATGGTCTACATAGTGAGTTCCAGGATAGGCAGAGCTACATAGCAAAGTTCTCAGAAGAAAAGAAGAAGTTATTATGCAAACCAGGTTTGGTGATGCAGAGCTCACACATAACACATGAGAGGTTATAGGTTCCATATCTGGCATTAAAGAAAGAGAAACGGCCTGTGAGGTGGCCCAGCAGGTCAGGGTACGTGCTGCCTCAAACCCCATGACCTGAGTTCGATTCCTGGAGTCCATCTGGTAGAAGAGAACTGATCCATGCAAGCTGATTTCTGAGCTCCACCCCAGGCACACAACACAATAATTAAAAAAAGAATCTATGGGTATAACAGGTGTATTTTACCCAAAAATACACTTTCCCTAGTGTACTTGAAGTTTAAAAATCCCCTGGAACCTCAACTCACTCCCCGCTAACCCACATATGTTGGGAAAGACCCACTTCACTTCAGAGCTCCCAGGTAGCATAGTGGCATGTTAGCGGACTGAGGGCCCCAAAGCCACCTCACCCAGAGCCGCCTTCCACCTCTGCGTGTCCTCAGGTTTCTGGGAACACATTCTGGGGAACTGGGTCCTCCATGCATCTTCTATACCTTCTGGGACCTTGGGGCTGGTCTATCCTTTTGAGACAACGGCCGTTGCTGTTCATAGAATGTGCACTGGATGAGACATCTCGCACAGGTTCTATCTAGAGCCCCGGGGAAGAATCCAGGCTTAAAGCTTGGCTCTCAAACCCCCAACCCTCGCCCGTAACTTCAAATCCATCAGCTTCACACTTCTCTGATCCTGGGCTGTTTCGTGGTCAAGCAGGACACCACCTGGCCAGCAGGAGGATTGAGTGGGGTTGCTAGTGCCTGGTGAGATAAGGCGCGTGCGTGCGTGTGTGTGTGTGTGTGTGTGTGTGTGTGTGTGTGTAGCTGTCAGAAGGGCCCGGAAAGCAGGCTAGTGTGCTTACCTAGAAAACTGCTCTTGTTCAACCTTGTGACCTTAGATGAATATCAAATGGGTTCATAGAAATGAAGGACAGAAAACAGTGTTTAGCCAGGAGCAAGAGATCACTAAAACAGCCCACCCTGGCCCTCAGTCTCAGTTCTGGGTCATCCCTTTTATAACATGGAACCCTCATTAGCTCTGCCTGGTACTATTGGTGTGTTTTTGTCCACCTGACAGAAACCCTAGTCTGTTCTGGGTTCCCTCCTCTCTGCCTGCCATCCTTGGGACCTAGTCCCTGCTAGGTGACTCTCATCCCTCCCTGAATTCTGCCCTCCCTGTCATCTGCTGAACCACGTGTACAGCAGAGGGATCCAGAAAAACTGGTTGCCAGGGAAACAGAGGATAAAGCCCTTGCACTGTCTGGCTGCTGATTGGCTGAGACAGGTCCCACCTCCTGCCATCCTGAATGTCGGGGTGCAGAGGGAAGGGTCTTTGACGGTAAGGAGAGGTACCAGAGTGCCAAGCCGGCTCAGGACTGTTGCCTTTTGGCCGACTCAGAGGCCTCCAGACCAGAGAAGCTCCTTCTCCCTTGGGAGTATTGGCCTGTCCCTCCCTGCCTCTAGTTAGCACAGCGGCCACAGATGGCAGTGTCTCTGGGGACAGCAGCTGCGACTGAGTCTACAGGCCAACCCTGAGCGGCTCAGGCTGAGGCAGCACGCTCTGTGCAGAGACTGCAGACAGACCAGGCGTCTACGGGTATGAGGTGAGTCTGCAGGCATGCTGGGGACACTGAGTGTAGCTAGTGGCTTGGGGACAGGGAGCGGGGCTCTGTCACACCGTCCCAGGCAGAACCAGGGCTGAAACAGTCTTGGCTATATTCTTAGCGATTGTCTGGCAACCCTCATCCCCATCCTGCCATTGTGAATGGGAACCCTGCAGCCTGTAGAGGGTGAGGGGTGGTCCAAGGTCATAGAGAGAGATTGTGGGTGTTTTCCCTTTCATTTGCATCAGTCCCCTGAGAAATCAGGAAAAGGGCTAGGAGTCCTCTGCTGCCCTAGAATGCATGGATTTTTGTCTAGAGTATTGGAAAGGCAGGGGGCCCCAACGTCTGCAAGTGAAATAGATAGATACCGCTTTGCCCCAGACTGTCATTTTCAGCCCAAAGTTTTGTTCTGTCCTGGGGCCCCTCTCTCTCCCTCCCACCACAGCCTCCCCACCCAGCAATTCTGAATGCTTTATTTGGCTCTCCAGAAAGGACGGTGTAGGAGGGGGCTCAGCCCTGCACCGTCTCCACCTCTGCTGCTCTAAGTCCTGACTCAAGACAATGACTGCCCTTAAATAAGTCCCTCCAGAAATAGGGCACCTTTAGTTGTTGGCTGTATTTCAGAACAGCCAATGGAAAACCTGGGGAAGGGGAGAGACAGGTAGACACATGACCAGGAAGCAGTATCTCTCTCTCTCTCTCTCTCTCTCTGAAGGTGACAGGTCACCTGGGACTAGGGGACACAGGAGGAACTGGAGTTTAGAGGTCAGAATAATGGTGTTTCTCTTCACCTTGCTCTGGAGGTGATTCTGTCCACCTCCCTGTCCCGCTCACCACCAGAAGCCAAGGTGGCTCATGTCCTCACGCTTGGGAAGCTTCTTCCTGTCGCAGAGGACTCGAGCCTCTCAGGTCATCACTGGGAATGAGTTCTGCCACTTCTCAGTTGAGCAATCCTTTGCAAAGTGCCTTGTCTAGGTGTCTGTTTGGTCCTCTGTTTACAGACAGTGACACCCAGCCAATACGCCCTGGCTAAGCCTGTGAAAATGCTGGACTCTGCCGGGTATGCAGAAGGGGGGTCCTCAGACCATGCTTTCCTAGACCTAAGAAAGGTTTAGGGGTGAGGTAAATGGACCCTGCATCTTTCCGTCCCTGAAGAAAGCGATGGAAAGGGACTTTTGAAATATAAATGGAAGTTTGCCCAATAATTAAGAATGCAGAGAACTAAGGAAGACCAAAGCAGCCATGAAGGTGGGGACTGCACAGCAGCAGGTGACTGGCACTGGGTTCCATGACAGTGCACAGTGTGGGACTTGAGGTAGGGAGGCTGGGTGGAGCACAGATGGTGGTTGCATTTGTTTCTTTTCTATTGCTGTGACAAATACCACCAGCAAGGAAACTCGGAGAGCAAGTTGGGTTTATGGTTTCAGAGGGCCAGAGCTCATGATGGTGGAATAAAGGTATGATGGCGGGAACAGCTGAAGGCTCCCATTTTTATCCACAAGCAGGAGGCAGAGAGAGAGAGAGAGAGAGAGAGAGAGAGAGAGAGAGAAGCAGAGACAGAGAGACCACGAGTGAGATAATTGGGATTAGCTTTTGAAAACTCAAAGTTCATCTCTAATGACACACCCCCTCCAACAAGGCCACACCCCCTCCAACAAGGCCACACCTCCTAATCCTTCCCAGACAGTTCCACCAACTGGGGACCAAGTGTCGTAACATAGGTGCCTGTGGGGACCATTCTTATCCAAGGCACCACCAGGACAGAGTCTAAGCAGTCTGGGTTCACGTGACTTTTGTGCAACACTTTACATGTTCCCGTCCATGTTCCTGCTTTCTCCTTCTGTGGCTCATTCAAAGCAACAGTTGTCTGGCTGAGATGGCTATGTGAAGCCCTGGATTTGATCCCCAGCACTGCGTCAACCAGGCATAGTGTCAAACTCTTGTAATCCCAGCACTGGGGGGGGGGGTGAAGGCAGGAGGATCAGAAGTTCAGGGTTATTGTCAACTACATAGTGAATTTGAGATCCTGTTTCAAAAAATTTTTTTTAAATATTCATTTATTTATTATGTATACAATATTCTGTCTGTGTGTATGTCTGCAGGCCAGAAGAGGGCATCAGACCTCATTACAGATGGTTGTGAGCCACCATGTGGTTGCCGGGAATTGAACTCAGGACCTTTAGAAGAGCAGGCAATGCTCTTAACCACTGAGCCATCTCTCCAGCCCCTCAAAATTTTATTTTATTTTATTTATTTATTTTTGGTTTTCGAGACAGGGTTTCTCTGTGTTGCTTTGGAGTCTGTCCTGGAACTCACTTTGTTGACCAGGCTGGCCTTGAACTCACAGAGATCCTCCTATCTCTGCCTCCCGAGGACTGGCACCACGACCACCTAGCCATCCCCTCCCCCTTTTTTTTGAGACAGGGTTTCTCTATGTAGTCCTGGCTGTCCTGAAACTCCCTCTGTAGACCAGGCTGTCCTCAAACTCAGAGATTTGCCTACCTCTGCCTCTGGAGTGCTGGGATTATAGGTGTGCACCACCATACCACGCTAAAACCTTTCTTTTTTCCTTTCTTCTCTTTTCTTTTTTAAATGGGACTGGTGAGATGGCTCAGCAGTTGGAGTCACTTTCTGTTTTGCCTGGCAACCTGAGTTTAATCTCTGGGACCCATATGGATTGATTCAACAACTGAGAATTACCTCCTACCTTCACATGTGTGCACATGCATGTGCACATGTTTGAATACATACATGAACATGCACTCGCACACACACATACATGATAAATAAAATGTTTAATTTACAATGTTCTTAGAAACTGAGGCCTATTTTTATTTCTTTTTTCAGATAAGGCAGCTGAAGGTCAGAGTATAAAAACAACATTGTAGCACCTATACACGGCAGGCATGGGTATGGGAAATCTTACATATACTGACCCACTTAGAAGCCCCAGAACCCTACCACTCAGGAGCTGTCATTCCCATTTACAGCCAAATACGCTCTGATCTTACCCAAGTTATATGGTGCTAGCGACCGTGGCCTGATAATTACAAAACTGGGCTGTGCAGGCGCTATTGATACCAGGCCGGGTGCCCTGGGGATGGGTGTTTGAACACCGTATTTTCACCAGGCCACACTTTGCCTGATATAGCTGTGGGCCCAGTCATCATTGCATGTGTGAGTGGGTGGGCGGGGTGTCAGCAAGCCACAGAAGACGGGGTTCAGCCAGGCCTCAGGGTGTGGGGAGACCAGAAGGTTCCTCCCCACCTGTCCTCTTGCAGAGAGTGCTTTGCGCACCCACAAGGATTAGTGAATGCTCACCATGACCTGTGCTGGGGTTGGACTAGTTTCCCCTTCCTTCCGGAAGGAAGGGGAAGGAAGCGGCGGCCCAGACTTAGGCAACTTGTACAACGGCCCAGACTCTGGAGCCAGCGCAGCTATAAATCTTTCTTGACGAATGAGTAGGAGCTGAGTGTTCTCATGTGAAGGGGACACAGCACGGTGCCCGTGGGAAGGCTGCTGAGTCACCCTGACGTCTTGGTCAGGCACAGTCTCCCACTACCCTAGGCAGTCGTCTCCCCATCTGTAATAAGATGCTGGAAGGTTCTCGGGTCTCTCTCAGGGTGGGTACTACCAAGGAGCCTTCTCGTGTCCTCATGATTGTGTCTTGGCAGCCAAAGCCGCCGCGATGCCGCACTTCTTGGACTGGTTCGTGCCTGTCTACCTGGTCATCTCCGTCCTCATCCTGGTGGGCTTTGGAGCTTGCATCTACTATTTCGAGCCTGGCCTGCAGGAGGCGCACAAGTGGCGCATGAAGCGCCCCCTGGTGGAGCGTGATCTCCGTAAGACGCTGATGGTGCGGGACAACCTGGCTTTTGGAGGTCCAGAAGCCTGAGCCAGAGGACAACCCCTTGATCTTTCCATCCATGCATCTGTAGCCCAGTAGAGGCCCTTGCTGTTCAGGGAGGATCCTTGTGTAGAAACCAGGCACTCGAATATCTATTTTATTTGCTGCTCCGGGCTCAAAATCATGCCTTCCCTTCCTAGCTCTGGGGACAACCTCCACTGGCCCTCAGTGCCTTTAAGTGCTGTCCAGCCCTCTTCCCCTCCATCTGGAGTCAGGTATGACTGTCCCACTGAATTCCCAGTTGCTTTCAGCTCCCATCTCTGCCTCGCAGCTGCGCCACCGGGCTGGCCTCAAAGCTGCCCCAGGAGAAGCCTTTCATCAGAATGATGCCAGCTTGGTTCAGACCAGCCCCGCCCACCTCAGTGGGCTCAGAATGAGTGATAGCGTATGGTGGGGGTGTGCAGAAGGGCAGGACTTTGGAAAGGGTGTGTGTGTGTCTGTGTCTGTGTCTGTGTGTGTGTGTGTGACAGCGGGCAGGCACTAGTAGGTGGGAAGTTATGTGTGTGAGAGAGACAGAATGGGGGCCCTGGCAGTGGTGGGCGTGGTGTGGGCTCTATACAGCAATGCGAGGACTGTCCACAGCAGGTTCCAGCGCCTTCCCTCTGCTGGAGTCTTCCACCCTTCCCTTAGGCTGAGGTGGCCGACAGGAGCCCCTGCCCATGCTCCCTCTCTGTCCCATGCTGCACTTCCGGGACTGAGCCTAGCCTCGCCTGTCCACCCTGGAAGCTCCTCCTGTATGGAGATTTCATTACTTGACTTTGTGGCACAAATGGGTAGACTTCATCTCTCTCTTCTGCTGTGGCTTCCATCTTCATTTATTCAAATCTAATAAAGGTTTCATGGCTCCCTCTGCAGGATTGTTCTTTCTCAAAAGCAGGATCGTGCCCATCTGGGTACTTGGGAAAAACACAACAGCTTGGTGGTCCCCACGCTGGTGATGGGAACACCAAACCTCAGGAAAGGTGAGCAGAGTTTCTCAGCTGACAGCATGGACCACTGTTGGTTGGAGGCAGGGGAGTGTCCTGTGACTGCAGGAAGATGTCCAACATCTGGAATTTCTACCCAGGAGAAGCCAGCAGCATCAACTGTTTCTCCTACCAGGATAATAACAATGTTTTATTTTACATCCTCAAACTTGCCTTGCTTTGTTTAGTTTTAAACAGGGTCTCATGGAGCCCAGGTTGGCCTCAAGCTGTGCAAGCATAAGGACCTCAGTTTGGGTCCTCAGCACCCACGTAAAATCTGGGTACAGTGGCATGCATCTGTCTCCCTAGCACTGGGTGGGGGAGGTTGGGGGAGCAAGTGAATCCTGGGGGCTTTCTGGCCAGCCAACATCACTGAAATAGTTATCTCTAGATACAGTGAAAGGCCCTCTCTCAAAAACAATAAGGTAGAGAGGGTTGTTGACCTACCTGATGCTGATCTCAGGCCCCTACATGTGCTTGCATGGGTGTGCACATCTGCTGCACACACACACACACACACACACACACACACACCATGCACACATACAAAGCAAACAAGGTGGATAGCTTCTGAGGAATGGCCCATGAGGGTGACCACCAGGTCCATGTGCACACATGTACACACACACACACACACACACACACACACATACACCCCTACATAATACTGTGCATACAAACACAAAGTAAATACTTGGATGATCAAACACTCTTAAAGATATACAAAGCAAACAAGGTGGATAGCTTCTGAGGAATGGCCCATGAGGATGACCACCAGGTCCATATGCACACATGTACACACACACACACACACACACACACCCCTACATAATACTGTGCATACAAACACAAAGTAAATATCTGGATGATCAAACACTCTTAAAGATTTATTTTTATTTATATGTGTGTTTTGTATGTGTATGCCACATGTGTGCAGGTACCCTCAAAGGCCAGAAGAGTACATCGGGTTCCTTGGAGCTGGAGTTACAGGTGGTTGTGGGCCACCTAGTATGGATGTTGGGAGTCACACTTGAGTCCTCTGGGAGAGCTTGAGCCATCTCTCCAGCTGCAGTTAAGCAAACATGTTAACTGGAATCCCTGGAGTATAGGACAGACTAGCAGATAAAATTAGCCAGACGGTGGTGGCGCACACCTTTAATCCCAGCACTCAGGAGGCAGAGGCAGGCGGATCTCTGGGAGTTCAAGGCCAGTCTGATCTACAAGAGCTAGTTTCAGAACAGGTACCAAAGCTACAGGGAAACCTTGTCTCAAAATAAATAAATAAATAAAATTAGTTACCAAAATGCCAAACAACAGGGTCCTAAAGCAGGAGGCTGTCCAGAGCTGATTTGGTGGCCATTTCTTTTCAGGAACTGGAGGTTCCTTTGGTTGCTTTGCCACACCTGGGATGTTATCTGCTCAGCGTGAACTGGTTCCCATGCATCCTGAGCAGCAGGGAGATGAGGGGCTGGATGATGCTCCCCGAAGGGATGCCTGCTCCAATGAATGGTATCCATTCATCTCCTCTGATTGATATTTAATCACGTGGCTATCTTAGCTGCAAGGGAGGCTGGGGATGCAGCCTTGAGTTGGGTGACTGTGTTCTAATTAAAAAGCCCATCTAGGGCTGGGAGTGGTGGCACACACCTTTAATGCCAGCACTCAGGAGGCAGAGGCAGGTGGGTATCTGTAAGCTTCAGGGCAGCTGGGGCTACACAGGGAGAACCTGTCATAAAAAACAAAATAAAACAAAACAAAACAAAAAAAAACCAAACCATATCAAACCAAACCAAAACAAACTTTAAGGAAATGGGACTGGAGAGATAGCTCATTAAGAGCACTTGTTCCACTGGCAGAGTACCTGGGTTCAGCTCCCAGCACCTACACAGTATGGCTCATAACTGTAACACCAGTTTCAGGCACTCTGACACTTTCTTCCGAACTCTGAGTGTACCAGACTTACATATGATACATATACATCCATCTAGGCAAAACATGCATAAAAGTAAAATAAATAACTCTTGAAAAAGTAAAAGCTCACCTTCAACAGGTGAAATGGCTCAGAGGGTAAAAGGTACCTACTTCCAAGCTCAACAAATTGAGTTTGATCTTCATGGTGGAAAACTGGCTCCTGCTGGTTGTCCTTGGGCCCATCTGTACCTCATCCCTGCCCCAACCTCTTGACCCCAGATTAGGCCTTGTGCCCTGTCTTGGGAGGCAGAGTGGAAAAGAAGCCACTTTCAACTTGAGACACTGGGCTGTTATTTATCCATAGACCCGACCCAGGGTCAGCATGAGCTGTTTGGCAGAGCTGGTTCTAGAGTGAGGCTTGATAGACACCTCAAAGCCACATTCTGGCAAAGCTTGCGTCTTCCCCTGTCTCTAAGGATGGCCTTCACTACCTTATGTCTCACTCGGCAGCTCTGAGAGATTTCCCACCATCCTTTACACATCAAAGGAGTGGCCAGAACTGTCTCCTCACTACTGAGGACTCTTCCAGGAGTAGGTGGAGACCAAACAGGACGGCTGAAAGAGAAGGACTCAGCTTGCCTGCGGTTAGAACTTCAGGGTATCACTAGGACTCTCTCTCTCCATCCCTGAGTCAATCTTTCTTTCTTTCTTTCTTTCTTTCTTTCTTTCTTTCTTTCTTTCTTTCTTTCTTTCTTTCTTCCTTCCTTCCTTCCTTCCTTCCTTCCTTCCTTCCTTCCTTTCTTTCTTTCTTTCTTTCTCTCTCTTCCTTTTTGCATAGGTTTCATGTCTCTATGGCTGCCAGGTGTTCTTTCCAGTTCCCAATTCCAGGCTAATACAACTTTCAGCACCTTGATGTCTTAAAAAAATTTACCAAGCTTGGCAGTAGTGTTGTTCACCTTTAATCTCAGCACGCGGGAAGCAGAGGCAGGTAGATCTTTTTGAGTTCAAGGCCAGCCTAGTCTGAGGAGCAAGTTCCAAAGAAGCCAGGGCTGTACAGAGAAACCCTGTCTTGAAAAGCAAACGAACAAACAAATTATTTACTTTAATTATATGTGTGGGCATGTTTTGCTTGCATGCATGTAATGTATGTGCACCTCATGTGTGTAGGGTGTGCAGAGGCCAGGAGAGGCTGTCTTATCCCCTGAAACTGGAGTTTCAAAGGCTGTGAACCACCAGGTGGGTGCTGGGAACCAAATCTGGGTCCTCTGCAAGAGCAGCAAGTGCTCTTAAGGACGGAGTCATCTCTCCAGTCCCAGCACCTTGATTTCAAAGAGCAAATCTCAGTAAGCAGTGCTCTTAGTGAGTCCCTAACCCATCACTTCCTTCCCGTGTACCCAATAACGACCCTTCTAGAAACAAAGACAAGAAAAAAAGAGGAGGAACATGAGGAGGTCACTGAAAGGTGAGAAGGTTCAGAAGATAGGCTCTTATTGACCCCTAAAGCCTGTGAGCTCTGGTTGGGGTTCTCTGATTGGCCAGACATCTCTGAACTGATCCTGTAGTTGGATGCTGATGGTGACTGAGGAAGGGGAAGGATGCTGGATGAAGGAAGGAGAGGGATGAGGTTATTATTTTACAGAGAGGAAACGAACTTGCAGAATGGAAGGATCATTTAGGGTCACCCATACTTATTGCCACTTGGGTTAGGGTCTGGAAGTCTGAGGGTGGGGTATGTGGATGGCAATCTGTAGAGTTTGGTGAACCTGCGAGTTAGGGGTCTGAGTATGTCCTGTTGGCAGGCAGGGTATGGTGGAGAGGTCAGCAGGGAACTGGGTTCTATGTGGACCTCCCAGAGGGTAGGGTTCTTCCTGTGTTTTTTTCATATCACCCCACAAAATCATGGGGGCAGTTCCGTCACTGAGAACACAGCCCCGTGTGGCCTCAGTTTTTTCTGCAATGCCAGGCCCTTGTGTATTCGGAGACTCCTTCCCTGCAGGTCAAACTTCTGACACCTGAGGCGTCAGGTTTCACAAGTCACTTGTGACATTTTTCTTTTGGTGCTAATCTAAATGGCAAGAGGTGTGAAGCCAAGGCCGGAAGCTCAGTGCAGAGCTGTTATCGGAAATCTCCAAGCAGGAACCGCGGGATGGCTTCTGGGGCAGAAAGCTGCCTCCCCAGCTTGGGTAGGAAAGGGAAGGTAACAGAGGGTAACGTGAGCTCCTCACCTTTACAAGAAAGTGAATAAGGGCTCGGGATCTCTAGAACCAGGCAGATCCTGTAGGATTCTTTTTCCTGCTTTAGAGATGGAACCTAGGGTCTGGTGCATACTAGGAAAGGTCTCTACCCCTGGACCACACCTCTGTCCTTCTGACCACCTTCCATTCTTGCTTTCATGTACCTTTTTGAAGGCAGGTACCAGAAAGAATATTATAACTCTTCATCTGTCCACCTAGTCATACCAAACTGGCCCTTTGGGAGTAGCCTGGGCTTGACCAGTTGAGCTGTGGAGGGCCTTGGGCTCCCATGTGGCCTGTAGCCAAGTCTGGTTTACTCCCAGTGTTTTGAAAAGATGCAATTGGTTGCTAGCATTTGCAAGTCAGGAGATTTCCTGTTAAAAATCTCATTTCTGACTCTCTTAGAAATAGAATTTGAGCCACTTTGCGCCTGAAGTGTGAAATTCGTGGCTATGAGCATGACTTTGCGGCAAGGAGCATGCTGACTGGGCTCCAGTCAGAGGCTCTGAAGTGGCCAAGCCCCAGAACAGCTGCCTATGTCCAATGTCCACCGCCAAGTGTTCTGCAGCCGGTGGGCTGGGGCTTCATCAAGCCTTCTGGTCTCAGACCATGATCTCTTTCCACTCTCATTGTGGGCCTGGTTACATAAATGTTTCCTCACGTCTGCTCTTTCCAGAAAGAGCCCATGAAGGTTTCAACTGATCTGCTCATGGACCCAAGAAGAAGATGTGAGTGATCCT